TCGACTCGGTCAACAGGGAATCCATCTGGTGGACCCTTGTGAGGCAACTCCACGATGGCATGAACGGCAGTGTCCTGTACAATGGCACCCAGTCTGACTTCTTCCCCATCCAATCGGAAATTAAACAAGGATGTTTACTGGCACCAACTCTCTTTTCCATTTTCTTAGCTGCCTTCCTTACCCGTTCCGTGCCAATTTAGCTGGCGCGGGGTGGACATCCAGTACCGGATGCAGGGTCTTTTCAACATAAGACGACTCCAGGGAGGAATACCGGTGTCAGCAGCTTCCATTACCTACAGGAGATCCTGAAGACCTATGCAGATGTGTATACACACTTCGGCCTTGTGGTGAATACACTTGAGAATCAGATTCTCTTTCAGCCTGCCCTTGGTTCAGCCACACCGCCACCATCCATCCAGCTTAACAGTCCTACACTCTCTAATGTGACCCACTTTCGGTATCTCGGCTCACACCTGTCCCCTACCGCAGATATCGATGAAGAGATTTAACATCGGATCAGATGTGCACATCAAGCCTTTGGCAGACTCCGTACCCGTATCTTCAGCTGTAGGAAGCTGAAATTATCTACAAAGTTGCAGCGAGACATGGGTCATATACAGGAGGCACCTCAAGACACTTGAAAACTTTTACCAATGTAGTCTACATTCCATCCTCCGATTTCGCTGGGAAGACAAAAGAACAAATGTCAGTATTCTCGCTGAAACCAACTGTAGGAGCATCGAGGCTACCATTATCCATGAACAATTACGTTAGACTGGCCATGTTACCCGCTTGGACGACAGCACAGTGCCAAACCAGCTACTTTACAGTCACCTAACGAATAGTAAACGTAACTTTGGTGAGCAACTGAAAAGGTAAAACGATAGTTTTAAAACAAACCTGAAAAATGCCAAATCAACCCCCCACCTGGGAGACGATTAATCCACACGGTAACGCTTGCGGAAGCACCACACGAGAAGGTGTCAATAATTTCGAGTTAGCCCGACTGCCTAACGAGGCAGGCAAGCGCCAACGCCGGAAAAACGCTGCGGCCGCCCCTCTTGCACTAGATGTAGCCTTCCACACGTGCAACATCTGTGAACGATCCTGCCGGTCCCGTACCGGCCTCTCTAGTCACCTCAGAGCTCACCAACGAAGGTGACATCCTCAATAAATCAAATCATTGTTTCATAGCTGGATGATCGTCATACTCGTTTCCGTGTAGTAGTAGGTGGAATGTATGTTGTTAGTGGTGGGTAGTGTCGGTGTTGTATGTGGCTGTGGTGTTAGTGTTGTAATTGGTGGTGGTGTTTCTTTTGTAAATGGTGGTGGTGTTTCTTTTGTAAATGGTGGTGGTGTTTGTTTTGTAAGTGGTGGTGGTGTTAGTGTTGTTAGTGGTGGTGGTACTGCTGTAAATGGTGGTGGTGGTGGTGTACGTGTTGTTACTGTTGGTGGTGTTAACGTTTTCAAAGGTTTTGATATTAGTGTTGTTAGTTGTGATAATTATGTTATAAATGGTGACAAAGTGGTAAGTGTAAAGAGTGCTGTAAATAATGGCACTGTTGAATCCTCTGGTGGCGGTGGAGGTGGTAGGAACCGTAGCAGTGATAGTAGTTGTGGTGATAGTGATAGTAGTTATAGTGGTTTGGGGGTTGATGATGATAGTGGTGGTGGTGATGGTGGTGGTGCTAGAAGTGGTGATATTAGTGTTGTAGGTGGTGATGGTTATGCTATAAGCGGTGGGAATGTTGTAAGGATTGATGGCGTTTAAGTGATAAGAGTATTGTAAGTCATAGTGGTGATGTTGTAATGGTTGTGGTGGCACCTTAGCAGTGACCATAAATAACTGATGGTGGTGGTGGTGGTAGTGGTACTAGTAGTGGTGATAGTCTGATTGTGGTGGAGGAATAATAATGGTGGTAGTTGTGGCAATGTTGGTGGTGGGAATGGTGGTTAGTGGTGTTGTGGTGAGAATTATGATGTTAGTGGTGGTAATGGTGGTGGGGATGATGTTATTACTAGTGGTGACCATGGTGATAGTGGTGATGGTAATGATGGTGGTGTTGGTGGTGGGATGATGGTGTTAGTAGTGGTGATGGTGGTGATAGTGGAGGTGGTAATGGTGGTGGGGATGATGTTCGTGGTGGTGGTCGGCCGCCACCCCGCCAGCTCCATGTACCCGGTAAGCTTTAATTAAATTTAGAGTAATAAAACAGAGAAGGCATTAAGCGGCTCTGTCTTTTAAGATCACACGAGAAATAAACCACATGTAGCATTCCTCAATGACATGAGATCCACTAATCCACACACCACCTCCACCGCACATGAAAGAAGAGCTTACAAAAATGGGCGACTTAGCAATTCAAGTCATGATATATAAGCCTCTCTCAGTCCCTGTAAATTCAGTTGCCACTGAAGATGTTGTGAATAAAGACGATAACTAAGGTGCTCCATTTTACATTTTTTTTTATAAACCCTTATACATCACATTTCGAAGACTCCCTGGAGCGCATGCAGTGAGGGACGAGATCCCAGTATGTAAAAAGCATTCCGTCTTTGGATAGCTATGCTGAGGCACTGGAAAAGCCAGCTCAATGCCTAGAGCCTAGCTCATTCAGGAACTCTGATCCAACTGGGACAAAGCAATAGTGAGGGTTCAGGTTCCTTTGCTTTCCCACCTTCTAGGACTCTAGGTTCCCTTAAGCTCGCTGCCCTCCTCGCTCCTGTTGATTTGTGGGGGGATTATAAGTAGGTGCCAGGGTGGAATATATATATATATATATATATATATATATATATATATATATATATATATATATATATATATATATATATATATATATATATATATATATATATATGTGTGTGTGTGTGTGTGTGTGTGTGTGTGTGTGCTGTACTGTATGTATGCTCGTTGTGGTTAGGTTAGGTTAGGCTAGGCTGTGGCTGTTGGGAAAACCCACTGCGCAAAATTTTGCTTTCTGATTATTTGGAAAACGTCCATAGCGCGTTGTGGACGTATTCTTTTCGTTCAGTGAGTGAATTCGATTTTTGAACCTAACACATTCATAGATATATTACGGAAATAGTTATGTTAAAAGTTAAGAGGGAAAGCACACAACGTGAAATATAGAGACAAAATACCTGATTGTATCTGTGACAAGCAGAAGGTGGACCACATGTTGACTTTTAATTCAAGGATGAGCGTGCCTTGTATTTTCACCGTCAAATCATAATTCATATTCAAATGTATGCCTTTCTTGTCAAATACTCGGAGACGTATTTAGGTCACATGATATTTAGTATGGGTGTGTGTTAAGCTCTTGGGAGCTTTCAAGAAAGGCCAGATGCAGCTAAAATCTGGTAAGGGATGAGAAACATTTTTTGACTTAGTTTTGGTTTAAACTTGTGTGAACATCCCACAACCGCTAAAATTAATTAATGAAGTTTACATTTTGATTTTTCCCTCTGACTGCCATTAAGTAGAGCCACTTCACGGTACACGCCATTATTAATAACCATACTCTTCACGCAAGATTGAATTTCGTTTTGAGAAATTGATTTTGCCTCTGACTTACATTTCCACGAATTAACTTTGAAATCGAACTTACATATTCAATAACAGCGAGAGGGAATAAAATAAACATAAAATAAGAAATATGTAGTCAGCTGATAAACGAAGTTGTGACACGGAGGTTGACCTTATCTGGTAATCATTGCCACCTGCAGGTGGTCAGGTCTCTGATAATCTGTCCCTGCCTGAAATTCATTACACCTTTACGATATTTCCTGATCTTGAAGAGACCGAGGACGTGGGTTAAATGTTTCTTACTTTCATTTGTTATCGTGGTAAGCTGTTGAAATTAAATATATTATCTATCCAAAGGTACAAAAATAATTAAGAGAAGGTGTATAAATCGAAATAAAACTTGTAGTATATATATTTCCACAAGCAAAATCAGGACCAGATTATATCTCTAGTTAAAGACAGTGCAGGAGAATGTTGGAATGATCACGTAGTAATTTTGTCACAAGAGAGCGGAGGTGAGTGAGGTGCTCCCCTCCCTCGTACCTCGCACGTTTTCTGGTACGAGGTTCATGCCTCAGTTATTCTCAAGATGAAATTTACGACTCTCGATATGAAAGCAAGTCAGGCATGACGATGTAGATAATTTATTGAGAGTCTCTCACTCTCTTTGCGCATCATCTCCCATTTCTCAATCAAGAGTGATATTTCCAATAAAAAAAATCATTCGATTATAAATCCTACATTCAAACTTTTAATTGAATTGGGTTTTAATTTCTTCAGTTACGTTATGGGATTAATTAATCACTGTATATCAAGTTAATGGAGCGGAGAGGGGAAGTTGATACAACACTGATCAATACCAACCCGGGCACAGTATTCTTGCGCTACATTAAACCTCGTCGCTTTCCAAGTCGACGATTTCTGCAATTGAATTCGCGTTGCAACGAATCATTGCAACAGTATGCAAGAAATACAGCAAAATTTTGGATAATTCTAGATTTGGATGAACCAGGAACAATTAAGAAGTTTGCTTATTGTTGTTGTTTATTTCAGGGGCTTCATCTTCCCGGGTATTAAGTAGCATTCTGAAGCCCTTATCCGTACTTTGGAATGAATAAAAATTATTTAGGAAAATTTATTTACGAATATTTTACATACGTAACATCAGAGTGCTTACCAAGTATAAATTTGACTAAATATGCCGAAATTAATTACAATTGTCAACTTAAGTAAAAAACCGAGGAACTATATTTATCATGAACTTAATAAAGACGGAAATAACTAAAAGGTAGTGTTCCAGCTACACACAACAGTATATGTTCCCTTTAGTTTTATCAGTAAATAATAGCACAGTTTTATGTGATCCTTTTCGTACAACTGAACTTAATTAAGATAGCGCATGTGAACTACGTATTTCCAAAACTAAATATTGTATAGAGCTCATCCTCGCATTTACAGTATAAAACTAGACTCAATTTGATGCTAAGTCAACCTTGTACATGTACAGGCTACAGCTAAACACAGCTTGTTGGTACATGAGGTAAGTCTTCCTACAGCTAAACACAGCTTGTTGGTACATGAGGTAAGTCTTCCTACAGCTAAACACAGCTTGTTGGTACATGAGGTAAGTCATCCTACAGCTAAACACAGCTTGTTGGTACATGAGGTAAGTCTTCCTACAGCTAAACACAGCTTGTTGGTACATGAGGTAAGTCTTCCTACAGCTAAACACAGCTTGTTGGTACATGAGGTAAGTCTTCCTACAGCTAAACACAGCATGTTGGTACATGAGGTAAGTCTTCCTACAGCTAAACACAGCTTGTTGGTACATGAGGTAAGTCTTCCTACAGCTAAACACAGCATGTTGGTACATGAGGTAAGTCTTCCTACAGCTAAACACAGCTTGTTGGTACATGAGATAAGTCTTCCTACAGCTAAACACAGCTTGTTGGTACATGAGGTAAGTCTTCCTACAGCTAAACACAGCTTGTTGGTACATGAGGTAAGTCTTCCTACAGCTAAACACAGCTTGTTGGTACATGAGGTAAGTCTTCCTACAGCTAAACACAGCTTGTTGGTACATGAGGTAAGTCTTCCTACAGCTAAACACAGCTTGTTGGTACATGAGATAAGTCTTCCTACAGCTAAACACAGCTTGTTGGTACATGAGGTAAGTCTTCCTACAGCTAAACACAGCTTGTTGGTACATGAGGTAAGTCTTCCTACAGCTAAACACAGCTTGTTGGTACATGAGATAAGTCTTCCTACAGCTAAACACAGCTTGTTGGTACATGAGGTAAGTCTTCCTACAGCTAAACACAGCATGTTGGTAGATGATCTAAGTCTTCCTACAGCTAAACACAGCTTGTTGGTAGATGATCTAAGTCTTCCTACAGCTAAACACAGCATGTTGGTAGGTGATTTAAGTTTTCCTACAGCTAAACACAGCATGCTGGTAGATGAGTTAAGTCTTCCTACAGCTAAACACAGCATGTTGGTGGATGATTTAAGTTTTCCTACAGCTAAACACAGCATGCTGGTAGATGAGTAAAGTCTTCCTACAGCTAAACACAGCATGTTGGTAGGTGATTTAAGTTTTCCTACAGCTAAACACAGCATGTTGGTAGATGATCTAAGTCTTCCTACAGCTAAACACAGCATGTTGGTAGGTGATTTAAGTTTTCCTACAGCTAAACACAGCATGCTGGTAGATGAGTTAAGTCGTCCTACAGCTAAACACAGCATGTTGGTGGATGATTTAAGTTTTCCTACAGCTAATCACAGCATCGTGGTACGGAAGCGCCTCTTGGCACAAAGCGAAAAAAGAAATTTTATAGTCAACCACAGCATGAAGTCAGATGACCCTCGTATCTGCAGAGCTAAAAGACAAGGTGTCACAAATTAACAATTAACTTCTACAGTCCAACATATACGATACTCAAGTTAATTTTCTCTATGGAAAAGACTTCGTCGTCAGAGATCAATTAGGTATTAGCACTTCTGTTAGCAAGATGTTGACATGTGACGTCACAATGAAACAGAATAACGGTTTATAAATCATTATCTATATATATAAAACAAAGAAGTATGTCTGTGTGTTTGTTTGTTTGTTTGTGTGTGTGTGTGTCTGCACGAGAATCTCGGAAACTACTTTACCGATCTGTAGTGATGATGGATGGTGTTATATGTAGTGATGATGGATGGTGTTATATGTAGTGATGATGGATGATGTTTTTGTAGTCATGATGGATGTTGACATGTAGTGATGATGGGTGGTGTTATATGTAGTAATGATGGATGGTGTTATATGTAGTGATGATGGATGGTGTAGTGAAGATGGATGGTGTTATATGTAGTGATGATGGATGATGTTATATGTAGTGATGATGGGTGCTGTTATATGTAGTGATAATGGATGGTGTTATATGTAGTGATGATGGATGGTGTAGTGAAGATGGATGGTGTTATATGTAGTGATGATGGATGATGTTTTTGTAGTCATGATGGATGTTGTTATATTCATTTTGATTTGATTTTGCCGCTTACAGCGGCAACTTTATTGTGCATCCCACACTCATCCTGTGAGCGGTAGCGCAAAAGGATTACAGAGTAGTTTACAACGGGTCATAATAATTAACCCCCGTTTGTCAGGATGTTATGGCACTGAATGTTAGACAGTATTTTAATTACATTATTTGTTTAGTTATATACATAAGGGGTAACTTATTCACAAATGCGTGAGTACAGGCGTGTGAGGCAGTATGTCTGGCCTCACACTTTGTTATTCACATTTACGTGAGAAGTATTCAAGCACATTGCGTATTTGGTTCTATATATGAGAACTGATATAGTTACTAAGTGCAAAACAGTGGATGCAATCTTAATATGTCGGCTCTCTTGCCATTAGAGATGAAGTGTTCTGCCATTTCACACACAGTGTGCTTGGACCTGTCCCTTAAAGGTTCTATCTTCACACAGTCGAGGACGTAGTGTTCATGTGTGTGGCCATATGTCTGGCCACACACTTTACATTTAGTTTTGTTTACATCTGCTTAAGGAACATACTGCCAAAGGTACTTATATCCTAACCTTAATACCGGTTACAACATTTTGTAATCTAGTGATCTTGTTACTTGCTCAATATACATGTTTCACTTGATACATCTCATCATGGTAAACTATGGATTGACTAGTGCATGTTTGCACGAGTCTACTTGGGTCAAACTCATCAATAAGTTCTTTCCCAATTACAGTTTTAAGGGTTCTTTTTGACAGACCCAAATTGTATTCAACGGTGTCTTTGTTAGACGCGAGTTTGGCGAGGGCATCAACTCTGTCATGTTTTATGAGGCCTATGTGAGAAGGGATCCACAACAGTTTGACCTTGACACCCCGATCAACAAGGCACTCATATTTGTGTCTGGCTTCAGAGACAAGAGCATGACAAATTAAGTCGAGGGTGTCAAGGGCAAGTAGTGAGGATAGAGAGTCAGTGATGATGAGACTATCAGTAACAGTGGTTTCAATGAATTTAATAGCTGTGAGTATGGCAACTAATTTAGTTAGTAGAGTGGATGCCCATTTGTTAATTCTAACTCATTTCTCTTTTTTATTACCGTCAGGTTGAGTCACAACAATAGCACTTCCAGCCCTCCCACAGGCGGTGTTAAGAGATCCATCAGTGTAGATGGTCTGTGTGATATTATCATCAGTCTATAGAGTGTGTATGTGTTCAAGAGCTCTCACTTTGGCATTGTTGGAGATAAATACTTTGTATAATTAATTTTTTAGGGGGATATGTCGGTATTGTGATATCGAAGGGAACTGTCAGCCAGGGTGGCAGGAAGTGCTGTTGTGTCTCAACTTTGTACAGGTGGTCTAGTCCATACATCTTCATATGTGTAGCTGTAGTGTGGATCCATTTAGACTCAACAGTCCCATGGTTCATACATTCTATCAATTTTAAGGAAACAATGCTATCAGGATCACCACGCAGAAGCCTCAGGGCTATCATGAGGTTGACTTCAATTATTCTATCTTTAACACTGGGTATACCTAGTTCTTTCCTCATATTAAGTACTTTAGTGCTCATGGGACATCCTAGGATAATTCTGAGGGCTTTATTTTGCATTTTATACGAAGGATACCTCTCATCACCACTGACCTGCCATTTGAGTTCAAGCGAATTCAGTTCCCGGTTAAAGTGAGCTTTGCTATGACCATCTACAAACGCCAGGGACAGTCCCTAAAGATGGTTGGCCTAAACCTGGTGTTTCCTTGCTTCTCTCATGGACAGTTCTATGTTGGCTGCTCCAGAGTGGGAACTGGCAAAAATCTGTACATACTTGCTGCTAATGGCAAAACCAAAAATGTGGTCTACCCTAATGCACTACAGTGAGACAAAGTGAAGCCTCCTGGAGGGCGGCGTCCTACCATGGCCTAGCGAAAGAGCCTCCAGGAGGGAGGCGATTCCGCTAGTATATATATATATATATATATATATATATATATATATATATATATATATATATATATATATATATATATATATATATATATATATATTTTTTTTTTTATATATATATATATATATATATATATATATATATATATATATATATATATATATATATATATATATATATATATATTGTTACGAGGGATTTAGAATATAGTTAAAAGTCTACCCAGATCCCAACAGGCAACAACAATAAAAAAACAAAGACAATCGGACTATAAAAGGGTAGACAAAGGATGCGAGTTTTTGTTGTGTATAATAAAGTACCATAAATTCCTTAACAAAATATTCAGCTTTCTATAATTTACCCTTAACCATACTTAACCTAAACATACGCAACATTGGCTTAACAGTATATACATATTTATACAACATACAACAATTTTGAAGCAAGTGGAGGGGGAGGCAATATAGGATAACAAATACTTAAGTGCGGAGCTGAGATGGCTGACGAGTAAGGCTGAGTATTGAAGAAGATGGTAGGTAGTCACTGTGCCGTAGGTTTCCAGGATAGGTGATCCTAGTGTGGTCACTTCCCAGAGTGAACTGAACTCTCCTCGAACTGGAGCTGATGAGGAAGACTTGGAGGAGGTGACACAACAACCAGGATATGGAGAAGGGAAACCCCGGAGTGGTAACTAAGACTAGTCATACTCGGGTTTCGTCCCTAGATGGCGTTGCTCGTGGTGCTGGGTAGGTAGATCATATCAATAGATGGCGTGGTTCGTAACAATATATATATATATATATATATATATATATATATATATATATATATATATATATATATATATATATATATATATATATATATATATATATATATATATATATGCTGATAACCACAAGGAAAAAAGAAAACACGAAGTTCCCAAGCACTTTCATGTAGTTCACATCTTCAGAGGTGAGTAAAGATTAAGGAGAAATACTTGACAAGACTCATATATACAGTAGAGGAGAGTGAGATCAAGTCCCAGGGGGACAGCGGGAATTAGAGAATGACTGCAAATTATCGTTCCTAGACTGTCTGATCCACAGAATAGGTAACACCTTTAAGTTCAGTATTTATAGGAAACCTACTAATATGTGTTCATACATTCATTATTATTCTGTCCACCATAACAGAGTCAAACAGACAGTATTCTCATCAATGTTCTTACGTGCTCTAAGAATATGTAATCCTGAATTCATTGATGAGGAATAAAAATCTATATATAATATTGGCTTGAACCTTAAGTACCCTAGGTCTTTTATAGACAAATGCCTTAACATTACCAAGAAATCTTTTTATAGAACTGATCCTAAGCCAACCCATGACATTAAGAATCTCTTATTATTACCATTTAACAAAAAATTCTCTCAAATTCCTGTACAACTGAAAACCTGGAATGTTAATGTGGCCTTTGAAAACTCATGCACTGCAAAACAAATGTTAATTAAGAACTCCCCCAACAATGCAGGCGGCTGCATTTACAAGGTTCCTTGCAAGGAATGTAATATGTTCTACTTAGGCCAGATGGGTAAAGATCTTATAACAAGACTTAAACAGCATAAATATAGTGTTAGGACAGGCCAGGAAACCAATGCTCTGTTCATTCATATGAGAGATAAAAAGCATTGCATTGACTGGGATAATGCCTCCTCAATATTACCTTGTAATTCAATTTTCAGTAGGAAAATTTTAGAATCCAGTCTCATTAAACATACCGAATCTGTCAACATGTATATATTAGCCTTGTCAAGTATTTCTCCTTAGTCTGTACTCACCCGTGAAG